TCCTTCGGAGGGGGCTACTGCTGGCGAAAACATTCCGGATTGTGGCGCCGGGACGAGCCCGACACCTGTAGTGGAGCACCCACGGGGACACACATCTCGAAGAACAGATGTTACTGCACAAGGTGAGTAACAATTTCATATCCATCCTAGACCTCCCCCACTGTAACTTGAGACCATTGCTCCTTGTTCTGCCGTCTGTCACTACACCTGTAGTGGAGCACCCACGGGGACACACATCTCGAAGAACAGATGTTACTGCACAAGGTGAGTAACAATTTCATATCCATCCTAGACCTCCCCCACTGTAACTTGAGACCATTGCTCCTTGTTCTGCCATCTGTCACTACTGAGTACAGCCTTTCCCCATCCTCTTCGGAACCTCCCTTCAGGAAGTTGAAGGCTGCTATCAAATCTCCCCTCACTCTTCTCTTCTTCAGACTAAACACACCCAGATCCCTCAGTCTTCCTGTACATAGGTCATCCAAAATGTTTCAGTGTCCTCTTCCTTATGCCTAGTTTTTAGAATACTATTGTTTTTCAGCTCTATCATCACTTCTTCAAATGTGGCCCTCTCAACACCAAATCTCACTGCTGAAGGTGAGACTGCCTTTACCTCATCTGAAAATGGATTTTCAGTAAATTCAAGAACTGTCTTCAGGAATTTGACATCTAGAAAATGAGAAGAAAATTCGGTTTTCAGCTCTCAGATTTACTCCATAAATAAATCAGGCAAAAAAGATGCATATTCACTCAGCTGTGTCACTTGTGAGTTGAGGATGGGAAAGTGAGTTAAATCTTTCTCATGAAGCTGATCTGCAAAAAGGGCCAGTTTTGTTTCAAATGCGGAAACATCGCATATCAGAGAAGGCAGGTTTTTTTCTTTGCCTTGAAGTTTAAGATTGAGTGCATTTAAGTGGCATGTCATATCAGTGAGAAAAGCCATATATGCAGCAGGCAGTAGATCCATAAACTGATCTAACACTTTGCCTCGACTCAGCCATCTAACTTCTGTTGCAAGCATTGCTAAGTCACCTTACTACGTTTCTTACTCCTCAAGTAAAGCTCAAAATTTTCAATATTTCAAGGCATTTGCAACAATGAAGTTGACGATTTTTGTGACATTATCCACTGTGCTCTTGAGAAATCCTCTCTTCAGTTTGCTGCATAGCTGTTCTTGGTGCAGAATGCAATAGTATGAAAAGAAATTTGGAAACTGTGGATTTTTCTTCAGCAATTAGCCCCTTCTTTTTTACAACCATGGAGGGAGCACAATCAGTTGTTACCGAAGTAAGCTTCTTCAAATCAATGCATTTTCCTGGTCCTTCAAAAAATGCCATCAGCGCAGAATAAGCATCCTTTCCTCTAGTTTGACCCATCAAAGGTATCAGAGTAAGCATTTCTTCAACATACTTTTTGCCATTGAAAAAACACACCTGATTATGAGCTGAGATATGTCTGAACGATCATTAGATTTGTCAATTGCCAGACTGAAATACTTAGTGCTTTCAGTGTCTTTTAGCAATTTAGAAAACAGATCGCCTGAAATGCTTTCAATTCATCTTACAACTGTTGAATCAGACACTTGGGCTGTGTCTAGAATGGCATGATTTTCCAGAAATACTTTTAACGGAAAAGTTTTTCCGTTAAAAGTATTGCCGCAAAAGCGCATCTAGATTGACAAGTGCCTTTGCGCAAAAGCATCTGTGGCCAGTCTAGATGCGATTTTGCGCAAGAAAGCTCCGATCGCCATTTTAGCCATCGGGGCTTTTTTGCGCAAAACAGTTCTTCCCTTAGGGTACACTGGCCATCTTGAGCAAGTATTCTTGCCCAAGAGGGCTTTTTCCCAAGCGGTAGCGGGAAAGTATTTGTGCAAGAAGCACTGATTCTGTACATTACAAAGTCAGTGCTCTTGCGCAAATTCAAGTGGCCAGTGTAGACAGCTGGCAAGTTTTTGTGCAAAAGCAATTGCTTTTGCGCAAAATCTTGCCAGTCTAGATGCACCCTTGCAGTTTTGATATTTGTTTAACTATATCCTCTTTGTTTTTAATTCTGCAAAAAGTGATTCACTGCAGTCAAAGAAGCACGGCTTCATCAATTCACCTTCGGTGAAAGTTATTTTTGATGTAGCTATGTGTCAAGTCATTTTGAAGGTGGCTTCTGTAACAACATCGCTGTCTTTAACCTGTGAACTGAATGTACCTTGTTGAGTACAGAAACCTTCCAGTAAGGAATGTATCTTAGTTTTCCTTAAATTGCTGTCAAATGGATACAAGTCTTTGAACTCAGGTTGACAAGATTCATGGTGCTGTTGCAGGTTGGTTTTCTTTTAACGCAGCGATAGTCTTTTGACAAAGAAGACACATTTTCCATTTATCTCTGCAAAAGTGAATTTCATCTCCCAAACAGGGTTGAAAACCCTGTATTCATCCAACAAGCGTCTCCTCTTTGATGCCATTTTTAATGCTTCTAATTAAAAAGAAAATTGTATACCAGCGTTCTGGGTGTTTAGCTTGAAGGATCAGGTTGTGCATTTCTTGGAGTGATTTCGCAGTAAAAAGAAAAGTTTCCAAGTCAGAGTGCTCCAACCTGTGGTGGGCGGGGGCTGGGTGAGTCAGGCCAGATACAGGAGGCAAAAAAGGACAGGTACTTGGGAGCCCTGCCCTGGATTCCCAGCAGGGCTGACATCCCTGCGTGGGAATCCGTCGCTCCATGTGGGACGGAGGCAGGGCTGCCCAGCTGCGGGACTGGACCCAAACATGGCCAGTGTGACCCAGTCAGCACCTCTCAGGCTCTGGCCACTTCCCACAATGCCCCGGCACCAGGGGTGCGCAGTCCAGTGTCGACCACCAGTGAGGGCCCATGGACCGCTGTCTCCCCCAGGATGGTGTGCATCTGGTCTTACTGGGGCCAGGTGTTGGCTCCTGCCCTCTCGCCCTCAGTGGCCCTGACAGCCCAGGTGCAGCTCCTTGACCTTGGCCCGGACCTGTTCCAGGATCCGGACAGGATGTCCCTGGTCTGCCAACGCCTGGGCCATGCAGCCAAAGATGTCCACGTTGTGGTGATGGGACTGGTGGTTGTGGAGGGCTTCCTTTTGCCCCCACTGGTCCAGGAGGGCCTCAACCTCTGACCCCAACCAGCATGGGGCTCTGTGATTGCTGCCCTTCTGTGGCTGCTGGGAGCCTTGGGGTGGCTGCTGGGATGGGGGTGCAGGCTCACGGGGTGACTCTAGGGCAGACATCTCCCTGGGGCTCCTGGGTGCAGCAGGCAGAGCTGTGTGGTGGTGCTGCTGTGTGTGCTGCTGCTGCCACACGGTGTCTACAGGGTATGTGTGCCTTTAAGTGGGGGTCCAGCAAGCAGGAAGTAGCGAGCTTGAGTGCAGGTATGGAGCGTCCTAGTGGTCACCTGCGTTTTTTCCTGGGAGGCCAGTTCTTGCACAAAAACTCTTGTTGCCCGTCCACACTGCCCTCTTGCACAAGAAGGCTTCTTCCTCGTACGGAGCATCAGAACTCTTGTGCAAGAAGCCCTCAGTTCCGAGACTCTACTGTAAATTTACTTAAGTGAGAATGCGTGTGCAGTGTAGACGCTCCGCAAGTTTTTGCCTGCAGTGTAGATGTAGCTTAGGAGTCTTGAGAGCAGTAAGGAACAGATCAACAAGAGGCTGAGCAGGTGTAGAATGACTGTGGAGTGTGCTTTTGGCCATCAAAAAGCCCACTGGTGATGTTTGTATGGGAAACTGGACCTGGCTGATGACAACATCCCTATGCTTATAGCCACATGCTATACTTTCCATATTGTTTGTAAAGGGAAGAGTGAAAGCTTCATTTAGAACTGGACTGCAGAGACTCAGCACCTGAAGACTGAGTTTGAACAGCCTGAGACCAGGGCTGTAAGAGGAGTACAGTGCAGGGCCATAGGGATCAGAAATACTTTGAGGAAGCAATTTGATGTTGAAAGCCAGGAATATCTGTTGCCAAGCCTGTGAGTACAGTGGCTGCAATGCTAATGTGGGATTCTGGTTGGTCCCAATGATGCAGTTAGTTCAATAGTGCCTGTTGCTTTGCTAGGATGTACTTGCTTGTTTTCATGTAAAGATTGTTTTCAAGCCCAAGAATTTCATTTATGAAAAGCAACAAACAGTGAACCCACACTCAGCATGACACTTCTGCAGTTTATGGGGGGGAGAAGGCAGAAAGAGGAGGTGTGGCCATGGCACATTTACAGATTTGTGTGTGTTCAGGTATCATGAGTAGCTGTGCTGTGCAATTGGTGCTGCAATTCAGGGCTAAATGGCACAGGGACAGGAGGGGGGGGGGTGAGGCAGAGGGAGGATGCACATTGAGTGCCTGTGGGAATCTGCAGGATTGGACACTGTGGGGACAGGATGGTGGCCAAAATGGGTTGGTGGGGGGGGTACATGGAAAACAGTTTGGGGACTCTAAACCAGAGACCGCCAGAGATTTCATGAAGGGACTTTGCTACTGAGTTTACCGGACGGTGCTCAAATACCAGCAGAGATGGTCAGCTGTATGAAACAGTCAGCTGGCTGGATAGAGAGGGATATGTATGGGGATGGTGCATAGATTGTTTAACCCAAAATCTCTCCAGTCCACAGCCTTCCCCCAAACGCTTGGGACGGAAACCGGTATTTGCTGCAGTGAAAAAGTTCTTGGTGGAGGGGGACCCTGGGCAGAGAAGAGTGCTCCAGGTTGGGGCGCCCAGCCTGGTGAGGAACGCCCTGCAGCAGCCGCTCACCCCCCAGTTCTTTGTGCGGGGCCCCAGTCCAGGAGCGGCTCCTATAACCCAGCCAGAAATCCCAGAGCACCCTCCTTAAGAGTGCTGCGGGGTGAGGGCACCCAGAGTCACAGTCTCGGCAGGCTCCCTGCTGGGCTGACTTCCCCCAGCCCAAAGGCCGTGCCCGCTGCTAGCACAGGAGCACCGCAAGCCCCGCACCAGTGAGGGCGCTCCCGGCAGGCGGGGACGGCGGCTCCCTGCTGGCAAAGGCTGCCGTCTGCCCGGACTCCCCACCGCGGAATGTGAGCGCCCCCGGGCGTCAGAGGCTGGGCAGCCTCAGCCCAGGAGCCGGTGACTGGGGGGGGCTCACCCCAGGGCAGCCCCCGCCCGGCTCCGGGAGGCAGCTGCTGCCCCCAGCCCTGCGCGGCGCCCAGTCACATGGTGCCGGTCTCCCTGCCCTGCGCGGCCGGTCGCTTCCTGGCCCGGCAGGAAGCAGCATGGAGCGCGGCTGCTGAGCGCTGCGGCGTCGGATCAGCCTCTGCGCGCGGGGCCCGGAGCGGCTGCCCCGATGGCTGCTCAGGTACCAGGCTCCCGTCCACGCCGCGCCCCGCCCCGCCTGCAGCTCCCGGCTCTGCGCCACGCGCCCGCCCGATCCACAGCGGCGCCATCGCCTGCAGCGAGCGGGGCAGAGGGCTCCCCGCTATCGAGCTGAGCCCTGCCGGGCGGGGAAGGGCAGAGGGCCCCTCCTTATAGTAACGAAAAGGGCTCGGCCCCTGTGATCATTCAATACCCCTGGCGTTGGGTGGCTGGCCTTGTTGTAACCCCTGGTCCACACGCCCTCCACGTAGTATTGTATTGTGCTGGGTTGGCTGCTCTCCCACCCGGAACCAAGTGCAGGGAGAGGACCCTGCGTGTGAACAGGTGGGTGGGCTTGGGAGGACCCAGTGTCTCCTGGGAAGGGTGTTTGCAGCTGCACCTCTCTGTGCAGGGCTCTGCCGGGGAGGCCATGGACCAGCGGCTCCAGCAGGCCCAGAGGTTCAAAGAGGATGGAAACCAGTGCTACAAGGAGGGGCGCTTCCGGGATGCTGTGAGCCGCTACCACCGGGCACTGCTGCAGCTGCGAGGGCTGGACCCCAGCGTGCCCTCTCCTCTGCAGGCCTTTGGGCGTGAGCAGCCGCCAGTGACACCTGAGCAGGAGAGCGCACTGCACAGCACCCAGTCTGACTGCTACAACAACCTGGCTGGTGAGTAGGGATCTTAACTAACATGTAATTGTGTAAACGTGTAATTGCTGGACATTTTAGCAATTGCACGTTACATGCCGGAGAGGGGGGGCGGAGGCAGGTAAGCACCAGCTCCTGCCTGCCTCCCCCTGCTGCCTCTGATAAAGAGGCAGCAACACGGGGGGCAGGCAGCTCCACACAGGTCCTTATGTGCGGGGAGCCAGCTTGAAATCTGCTTCCCATGTGTACTGGCTCCTGCTTGCCCCCTGTCTCCATGCTGCTGCTGCCTTTCTGTCAGAGGCAGCAGGGGAGGAGGGTGTTCAGGCAACTTCATGGGAGCCAATGCTTGTGGGGACCCAGCTCTTAAGCCAGCTCACCCCCCCCCAGCATTGGCTCTTGCCTGCCCTCTCCACCTGCGCTGTTGCCTCTGTTGAAGGCAGGGGGAAGAAGAAGAGAAGAGAAGAGAAGGAGGCAGCTTCATGGGAGCCAGCACACACAGGGAGCTGGCTTAAAAGCTGGCTCTCATGGGAACTGCCTCCTGAAAGGGTGCGTGTAGTTGTTAAGATTAACCAGTAAGCCCAGGCTTATCGTTTATTCATGTAAACGACTACACACTGACCTCCCTAGTGGTGAGGGGGGGCTGCCTTCTAGTGACATCACCATTGAGTCCCCTGGGGGTGTCCTAGCTCTCCAGTGACATCACAGTATCCTCTACTTTTCCATTGCTTCTCTAGGACAGCCTGCTGTGCCCCCTTCCGCACTGATGCCCTGGTTCTTTGGTGATACCAGTGCCATCACCATACCCTGCTTGTGGGTTCCCTAATCCTCAGGGTGGCACTGCCACCCCACCCCTCATTCTCTGTAACCTGTTTGCTCCCTCAATGACACTCCCTTCACCTAGGAGTTCATCCTGTAACCACCATTTCCAACTGGGCATGCCAATTCTGTTAGTGATGTCACTGTGCTGTTATAACAGTGACCCGCCCTGGCCCCTTGCGCCCTTTCACTGGTGCTGTTCCTCCTCCTCCCCAGCCTGCTTGCTCCACATGGAGCCAGTGAACTACGAGCGGGTGAAGGAGTACAGCCACAAGGTGCTGGAGAAACAGCCTGAGAACCCCAAAGCCCTGTACCGCGCTGGCGTGGCTGCCTACCACCTGCGGGACTACGACCAGGCCCGGCACTATCTTATGGCAGCCACAACCAGCCAGCCCCGAGGTGAGAGACGGGTTGCTTGCAGAGTGGCAGGAATTGAGAGAGTCACTTTGATAGGGAAGAGTCAAGGCCTTGTCTCCACACCCCTGGGGAACCCTCCTGCTGCACCTCATCCCCAGAGGGGATCCCTATGCCGAAGGACAGTGGGGGTGGCAGGACAGCTGCACTGGTGGCAGAGGCATCTCTTGGGGGCAGGCAGCAGGGACATGTCTTGGATGCAGCTGTCCAGGGGCAGCAACGTTGGCAGCTGATAAACATTGGTCTGGGGATCGGGAGGGGGTAGTGGTGATATCGCTGTGGGTGGGCGGGCAGGGAGGAGACTTCTTGGGCAAGGGGCAGCTAGTCAGCCTCAGGGGTATTATTAGCAGGTGCATGACTTGGTGCTGGTGGAGGATGCTGGAAGCTCAGCTAGGGCATAGGAGGAAGCTGGGTTTGCTCCTCAAGCTGAGGGAACAAAGTATGTTTGGGGGGGGGAGAATGAGTTTGGGCATTCAGCTCATGCCTTGGCCTGTCCTGTCTCTCCTCCTGCTCCATGGAGACGCCAAAGTCAAGCGGTACCTGCAGCTGACAGAGACCCAGCTCAGCACCTACCACCAGAAGGAGAAGCAGCTCTACATGGGAATGTTCAGCTAATGAAAACATGGCTCCCCCCACTAGACACCACCAAGGCCACATGGATGCACCTCCTTTCCTGGACAGACTGCCAGGCCACGGGGATACCTCCACTCATGTAGCACCAGGGTCACGGGGACATGTCTGACTTCTGCTGATGTTATTGCACCCACAAGGTCTCTTGAGACCTTGCTGAAGAGGAAACCCTGGGCATATGGCTGAGACCTGGCTCCCTTCCCACTTGTCTGCAGGGCAGTGTCCTTTGTACCCCCAAGGGCCTGCGCATGCCCAGTCACAATTGCACAGGCTTTGCCACCCCACCTTGTGGTGCCAGAGACAGAGAGCGAGGGCCAGATCATTGGCTCTGTCACTCCCCTGGCCCTCTTCATAAAGGGACCTGTCTCTGCAGCTTGTGTGTGTGTGTGTCTCTCTCTTCCCTGCCTGGGCTCTCTTGCAGGGAGCTTGTTTTAGGGAGTGACTCCCAGCTTTGCTGCTTCTGGCCTGAGCTACGTGACCTGACCCCCAGCCCCGTCTGGCCCTAACAAACAAGAAATAGCTCCTCTCTTCACTGTCTGCTGCTAGCTAGTCTGCCCTGGGGCTCATGCAGTGACTGCATGCATTGTGTTGGGCATCACCTGCACCCTGCAGAGGGGCCCAGATTAGACCGGGACTGGAGGGAGGTGGCTTATCCTCAGACAGAGCACACACTGGGCTGCTGCCTGCAATATGCCCCACCCTGCAGTGATGCTTCATACCCTTCCTTCTTTGCCCATGAGGCCCCAGTGATAGCTGGGCAGGTACAAATGAAGGGTGGGAGGAGCTGCATTTCAGGTGCTGACATTTTGGCTGCTCATATCAGCCTAGCCTGAAGCCCAAACGATCCGGCTTACTCCAAGCAGGAGATTTCCTCTGGGGGACTTGGGTCTCCTTTCATGTGGGAGCTCCCAGCTCAGCCTGGCATGTATCACCCCTCCCCCTATGCCAGATGTGTTGTGATGACCAGAGGTGAAAGTGAGGTGTGCGCCCCAGTGCACTACTCCAGATAGCGCTGGCTGGGGCATTCGGCTCTGCTGTGATAGCAGCAGCCAAGAGGCAGCCAGGCAACTTAAAAGGGGCCAGCTGGGGGCATGCTGTAGGGGAGGTGCACACACTCCCAGCCGGCCTACTTGGAGGGCTGGTAGCAGCTCTCATCTGCCATAGTGGCCTGGCCCTGGTCCCACTCCTGCCAAGGGGGGATGGAATCAGCTCCTGTCCAGCCGTGGCAGCCCCACAGTCTGGCCCCATCTGGTTGCAAGAGGCACTGTCATCAGCCCTGCTGCAGGAATGTTTGATGGGTATGGGTGGGTGTGAAATCAGCCCATCTGGTCCTGGCCAAGTAAGTTAACCCAGGGCCCCCACACACACTCTAGCCCCAGCCTGCTGCCTTGTGTCCGGTGACCTCCACTCACACCCCTTGTCTGCAGGGCAGTGTCCTTTGTACCCCCAAGGACCTGCGCATGCCCAGTCACAATTGCACAGGCTTCGCCACCCCACATTGTGGTGCCAGAGACAGAGCGAGGGCCAGATCATTGGCTCTGTCACTCCCAACCCTGACTCCTGCACCTTCATGCCCTGAGCCCCTCATACATCCCAGCCCTGATTCCTGCACCTCCCTCCACTCTCCTAGCCTCTTCCCCTCTCCCCTGCACCTTTACGTCCCCAATCCGCTGCCCTGAGCCCCCAGCACTCCACCCCTCATAATTCTTGCCGATACTGTTGTATAGCAACCCCTGCCTTGAAGCTGCCCCGGGAGGCAGGTTATGACAGGACAGTACCTGTCAGAAATGTAAGTTACTTCACCCCTGGATATGCTTAGGGGCTGAGAATCGCAGTCCCTGGGATCAGCCAGTACTGGGCGTTTCTCTAGGTCCCACAAGCCTGGCCCCTCCACCTCTCACCCATCCTAGCAAAAATCCTTCATTCCTGCCATCCACATGTCCTGACTCCTCCCTGCTGCTTAAGCAAACAGCTCCCCCAGGCTGACAGCTGGGAAATGGGGCTGTGGACTCTCCTCTCCCTGTAATGTGCAAATAGCAAATTGCCAGCAAATGCTGGCACGGCCCCAACTTCTCAGCCCCAGCACCCAGGCTAAAGGGTGCTAAGGTGAGGCCAGACAGGGAGCTGTTCCCTCCCAATGGGTGAACCCTGCCCCAACCAGAGAGCTGGGCTCTGCCTCCTGCAGGGCCATGCGTAGTGCATCTGGGTGAACAAAGCCCCTCTGTCAGGCATCCTGGAATTAGCCCCAGAGGCTGGAAGGGCAGGAAGGAAGAGCCAGAGAGCCATTGCAGGTGGGAAGGACAGGCGTCTCAGGTGAGAAACTGATCCAAACCAGCCTGGAGCAAGCATCTGCCCCATAGAGATGAGCATGGGTGTGAGGCTGCACTGGGTCACATGAGGCCAGGGCTCCAAGCTCTCAAGGGCTAGAGCTGGCCAAGGGATTGTTTTTAGGAACTCCCGGCAGCTGCTATTGTTGCAGCTGGGGCACTGATCTGCCCGGCTTGTAGGACACATGGGAGGGGGGGCCTGCCTGCACACAGGGCAACACCAGTTCAGTGAGACTGGTTCACTTCAAGAGCTGCAGAGCCCTGTTTCAGTGCAGCAGAAGCAGATTAGGAGCTTGCAAGAGCCCTTCAGCCAGGATCTCACTGCACAATTCAACCACCATGGCTACGTCTAGACTGCAAGCCTCTTTTGAAAAAGAGCGTCTAGAGTACAACCAGTACTTTTGAAAAAGTGGGTGTTTACTGGCACCCCTGGCCCTGGCTAAGGGCAAGGCAATTAATGCAATGCAGGGAGGGGTCGTGCAAGCACCATGCTGAGAGTCCATGCTAACAAAGCAGCTTGTACATGCCTTCCTGGCCAGCCTTTCCTACCACCCCAAAGCAGGATGGTGCCTGGGGCAGCGAGGCCCTACCCCTCCCAAGCCAGTAAATCCTGCACATCTAAAACAACCACCAAATCCTGCACATTCACTTTTTATTTTTTCATTTAGAGTGGACATGAGCAGTGAGGCTCCTTGAGGTAGCCAGAGCCAGACAGTTCTACCCCCTCTCCTCCGCCCCACAGCAGCCGCCTGTCCAGGCTGGGCAGACAGCAGCACCTACCCCTAGGCTTTGGGAGACACAGGGACCCAAGGTACTTATTGAACATTTGCTTTCAAGCCCATACTAGGGGTCCAGACAGTCTGTAGAGCCCAGTGTGGCTCCTGCCCCCTCTCGCCTTTAGAAGCTGAGGGGCCATTTCAAACTCCCTGCCTCACAGCAAGAAGGTTGCTCTGGCCTGTCCACACTCTAGGGAGAGGGTCCCCCCAGCCAGCCTAGCCCCTACAGTTCTGTCAGCATTGGGACAGGGATAGATTCTATATCCCCTCCCCAGCACGTAGGAGATCAGGGTGGATGAAGCATCAGACCCTGCCAGTTCCAGGTGGTTTTCTACTCAATTTCAAACTCCCTGCCTCACAGCAAGAAGGTTGCTCTGGCCTGTCCACACTCTAGGGAGAGGGTCCCCCCAGCCAGCCTAGCCCCTACAGTTCTGTCAGCATTGGGACAGGGATAGATTCTATATCCCCTCCCCAGCACGTAGGAGATCAGGGTGGATGAAGCATCAGACCCTGCCAGTTCCAGGTGGTTTTCTACTCAAGA